TTTTAGAGAGGTTGAGTTGGAGATGGTGGGATTTCATCCATTTTGATATGTCAGAGAGACAGTTTGATATTTGTGCAGAGACAGTGTGGTCGTCCGGTGGAAATGACAGGTAGAGCTGGGTGTCATCTACATAGCAGTGGTAGGAGAAGCCATGTGATCGAATGATCTCACCCAGTGAGGTGGTGTATGTGGCAAAGAGAAGAGGTCCTAGTACAGAGCCCTGGGGGACTCCTGTGGCAAGTTGGTGCACGGTAGAGGATTGTTCAAGCCAAGATACACTGAATGATCGTCCTGTGAGGTACGGTTCAAACCAGGCATGTGCTTTCTCTGTGATGCCCATGCTAGAGAGTGTGGACAAAAGGAAGCCATGGTTGACAGCGTCAAATGCAGTCGATAAGTCGAGCAGGATAAGCACTGAGGATTTGGCAGTCGCTCTAGCTTCTTTTATCACTGTTAACAGAGCAGTTTCAGTGGAGTGGCCCTTTTTGAACCCAGATTGGTAAGGGTCAAGCAGACAGTTTTGTGAGAGGTATTCTGTGATCTGCTTGAAAGCCACCCTTTCAATGATTTTGGACAGAAAAGGGAGGAGAGAGCTGGGTCGGTAGTTCTCCACATGATTTGGAGGAAGAGATGTTTTTTTTTAGCAGCGGTTTAACTTGAGCATGTTTGAGAGAGGTGGGAAATGTACCGGATGTCAGTGAAGCGTTGATCACATGTGTGACTGCTGCGGCTACTGTAGGAGCAATAGCTTGAGCAGCTTAGTTGGAATGGGGTAGAGAGGGCATGTGGTAGGGCGGCTGCACGTGAGAAGCTTGGACACACAGTTCTCAGTGAGAGGGGAAAAAGAGGAAAATGAAGCAGTAGGGCTTGAGATGGTTGGGCAAGAAAGAGTTTGTGGTAGCGAATGTTCAGGAGTGGCCAGTTGAGTAAACTGTTTGCTTATAGCTGCCACTTTGTCAGTGAAGAATGAGGCAAAGGTGTCAGCTGATAGATTGTTGGTTGTAGGTGGAGAAGGAGGGTTGAGCAGAGTTTTGAATGTTGAAAATAGTTTCTGAGAGTCAGTAGAGCTGAGAACTTTGCCAGTGTAGAAAGCTTTCTTTGCATCAGTGATGCTGGCAGAGAATGAGGACAGTAATTCATGAAATTTCAATTGATCACCAGGATCTTTTGTTTTGCGCCATTTCCGTTCCGCAGCTCTAAGATTGGTGCGTAGAGACCAGAGGGTATCATTTAGCCAAGGGTGCGACTGAGAGGATCTAACAGGTCTAGTGGCTAAAGGGCACAAGTTGTTATGACAAGAGCAGAGTGTGGAGCAGAGTGACTCGGTGGCATCATTCACTTCATAAGCAGAGAATGTGCTGGGAGATGGAAGAGTGGAGGCAACAAGAGAGGAGAAGTAGTTGGGTGCCAGATTGCGGAGGTTGCGGCAGATTGAGACCATTGGGGAGGAAGCAGTGGACATCCCTTGTAGAGTCGTGCTGAAATGGATGAAGTAATGATCGGAAAGATGCAGCGGTGTGACAGAGATTGTGTCTATGGCACAGTTTCTGGTGAAAATGAGGTCATGTGCTTTTCCAGCTTTGTGAGTTGGAGGACTTTGTACTAGTTTTAGATCAAATGATGACATAAGTGACAGGAAGCCTGATGAGCTGGGATTGTCCAGGTGAATATTCATGTCTCCAAGGACCATTGTGGGACAGTCATGCTCAGGAATGGAGAAGAGCAGGGTGCCGAGTTCATCAAGAAAGTCTCCCAGTTGACCTGGTTGGCGATAAATGACAACCAAAAAGAATTTTTTCTGTACAGTTACCTGGATGGCATGGTATTCAAAGGAGTTGTATTTAGTGATGGGTAGCAACTGACTGTATATCCATCTGTTGGAAATGAACATGCCCGTTCCACCACCTCGGCCAGATGCACGATGAGTGTGGGAGAAAGTGTGGTTAATTGAGAGAGCGGATGGGGTAGCATTGTCACATGGTTTGATCCAGGTCTCAGTGAGAGCCCGTGCATCGAGTGACAGGTGGTTTGCACATGCTGTAATGAAGTCTGCTTTGTTTACAGCTGATTGGCAGTTCCACAGTCCCATAGACAGGTGGGTGTCTTCGGGGGGGAGTTGGTTTTAGCGAGCGGAGGTTTTGAAGGTTGCGAAAGCGGTTTGCTGTGTGTGACCTTCCTCTGAAACTAGTGATCACAGCTGTAGGATAATGGCACATTTTTCAAGGTGTCGATGGAGCAGTGTCTGGGTCGAGTTTGTTTGCTCTGTGGACACGCGCAGGTAGACACGTATGTCTTTACCCTGGAGTGTCTTCACACCGGAGGGGCTGAGACACAAGGGCTGATGCTTCAGTTGTGCAACCAAACTTATGCTGTGCTACTAGTTGGAAACAGGTGTTCATGCACCAGCTGATTGCAATTGTTGAGACCTAGATCACCTGATGAGTGTTTTCAGGGAGGGGAGAAACAGCTCGTTTACAGCCCCTGATTGCACTTATTGTTTTCAGATGGCCCAAACCGGAGCTGCTAGACAACAGGATTACCCACAGATGAGTTTCCTTCTCTTTCCCAATGGAAGATAGTGCAAAGCAAAAGTGGCATCATTCGCTCCAGCAGCACCTCCCACTCCCGTTCTCATGCTCTCCTGCATTTTTAATTTCTAAACTTAAAACAGGAAGTCTAGACAGACTCCTGAACCCTTCTGTCATTGCTTGTCCTCAGGAATGTCAACACACAACGCTCACCTCCGCTGACTCAGTGACAAAGGAGACAGATTTAATGCGACATGACTGCTCAGACTGCAGTTGCTTTCAAATACTTCAGATGTATCGGTTTCAGTACCACATATGAAACTGATGTGGATCAGATTTGAAAATATCAGATCTGTGCTGCTCAGACTGTCATAAAAAAATCAGAAATGGGTTGCATGTTGGGAAAAAATCTGATTTGTTGCACTTTTATCTGCAGGGTGAACGTAGCCATAGAGGACTTAAAGAGCAAGTCACCGCTGAATCAACTTTTTTTCTGATAAACTATATAAATGATTGTCTAATCATGCTGCAGACACATGTAGTCAATAGTTTTGCACTTTAGTGCATTTTAGTTAAAATTTTAATTTTCTGCCTAAAACTGTCAGTGTTGTGCCGTTGTCAGGGAAAAATTCTGCACTGCATTTCAATTTAAATCTGCCATCGCTGTTGGCTAAGAGGTACCCTAGGACGTTAGCTGGTACCATATGATGTCACAATGTCGTTGTGAGCCTGTGTGTGTGTATTTGTTAGCGGCTCCGCCCTCTCGGTCTGCTAGGCAACAGCATTTGGTGCATTTTGCAAACAGGAAGTGGGAGTTGAGTAAGAGTCTGGTAGGGGGAGACTTGCTCTTTAAGCCCGCTGCACACTGTGCGTTTTCGGCTGTTGCAAATAACTGCTTCATGTCATATTGTGAGGACTCCAAAGATGTGGCACACTACACTGCTCAAGATTTCAGCGAGCCAAACTGCACGGCATCTCACTCTAACAGGACACGCTAACGTCACAAGCATATTCACCAAACAGCGTACGTCACCTAAAGCCGACAGATACCCAAAGCAACAACGATTAAAAGAAGAAAGCACCACCGTTAATGAACCAAACATCAAAATGGAGTGGTCCACATTTTTCTTGTGTGTAACCTCCATTGTTGCCCATGTTGCTAATTCTGCTCCTAAATGTAAACGTCACTCCCTAGGTGTATTTTCATTGGTCGAACAGGGTTGTCCAAACTTTTCAAGATGACGGCCAAAGTCATCAAAAGACCTTATGGACCAAAGAAAGTGCAGTGTTAGTAGCTCCAACACATAATTACCTGCTCATGTAGAGAATCAGTAGGGTTTCGTTGCCATACGTTTGAGCTGGTTCACAAAATTAGGGAATTGCTGCGGTACTTAGTGTAAAAAAAAAAAAGAAATAAGCACAATAAAATAATAAAAATCAACACTAACTAGGAAAATGACCTATACGTACAAGACAGTGTAGGTACTGATCAGAGCAGAACAGCCAGGTACTAACACAACACTGGGTCAAGTGTCAACATCAACGTTGTAGAGCAAACAGAGTCAGTAGTAGAGTCGTGTTGCTGTTGGCCAAACAGTCGAGATGTCCAAACATCAGTAAATAGGAGTGCAAATCCTGTCGTCTGGAGACCACTGTAACTGTATTGATTAAACGAGTGTTCCACATGCTTTCTTTCCCCAATTACAGTTAATAATCAGTTTACATTGTGCAGGGTACCACATCAAGGCATTGTGTCCAAAAAGGAGCCTTTTCAGGGATTTGGCATGTGGTCATAGTGTTATGGTTAATGTGTAATAAGAAACCTTTGCCTAGTTTATCCAGTGGTTCCCTTTCCTTTGATCTCTAAAGTGGTTCATCACTTAGATTTGTTTATGATACAGAGACAGAATATTTGGATAAAACCGTATTAGTGGCTGATAAATGGCTTTGTGTCTATAAAACTTCATCCTAAGATCTGTTTGGGTGCCCCACTTTCCCCCAAGCCCTCAGTTGGTCCTGAGCTCTGGAGCCGTTGTAGCAAAACTTGTCTCTCTTTAGATCTCTCTGTCTCACACTCTATGCATCCTTCCTCTCCTTTTTTCCCTTCTGGGAGTTTGTTTGTACTGAATTCCCACTGTAGGATCACAGCACAAGTGTTCTGAGCCTGTGGGGTGCATTTGTTAGTCAAGTCTTCAGCTGTCACATGCATTTAGTTTGTTTCTGTTTCACACTTTAGCGTTTCACTGTAGAAATTACACATTAAAACCACGTTTTTAGGGTACTAAAAACAGAAAACTCCTCTAAAGAGCCTTAGCGAGACAGTAGTCCCCTTAGGCATTCCATCTTTTGAGAGCGCTTGTCTCTTTGTGGACCAAACAGTAGGAAGGAACTTGTCTGGCATGCGTGAAGAAGCTGTCTGCTCAAGAATCGACATCTCTCTTACCTCATCTCCCTCCCTCTGCATCACCACAGATGGACAACAAAGGCTGGAACGGACAAAAGGCGTCTTTTACCGAAGCAACAAGTAACAGTGAGTATCGGCACGTCTCTCTGTGCGTCTATTGCCATTTCCTCCCCCTCCTCCTTTCTGGCTTTCTATCACTCCCTCCATCCTGCAGGTGGTTTTAGCCACCGAGATGGCCCGGCGTTTAATCTCTGTGACTGGTCAATGGGCCTCTGACTGTCAGCTTAATTGGCCGTGCGTCCTCGTGGGGAGCCTGCAAAATCAGGCTCATTCACACCAGGCTTATAGGGCCGGCACACAGAGGCCCAGTGGGGACTCCCCCTGCTGCCTTCCTGGGCAAAAAACACAGCCTTTCACTCAGGATTAGGACCCAACACACAACATACACACACACACGCACTTCATCTAACAAAGGACATGTTGATATGAATTAGTGAACGAAAAAATGTTACGTTTATAGTTAATTTATTATTTTTAATATTTAGGCAATTTATGTCTACATTTTGTTAAATTCTGGAACATCCTCATAAATATGAACACACATTTAATTATTAAATTTGTGGAATATTGAAAACCCTGTTTAAGAATATTATTTCTGATTCAAATCAGTCACCCAGAGTTTTTCATGCAGAGGCCGACCGATATGTTTTTTTAAGGCCAATACCGATTTATGAAGAATTTCGTTGCAGATGGCCGGTATCTAAAGCTGATTATTAGGCCAATACATATACGTTTTAGCAGCACATTGATTGTGAAAGACCACATACCACTCACTGTGTGCAATATAAATTTAATAAGTTAATAAATCTCTTAATATGTTTTGAACTTCAAATATAAAACAAACTCAAAACATAAAAAAAACAGTGTGTTGGGGTCCTTCGGGTCCTTTCTTCGGTCTATTAGTGGCAGCTTTTGGCCACACAGGTGCTTGATTTTTTTATTGATTTTTAAAAAAATCTTTCGGACGATTGCCGTTATAGAAAAAAATTGAATATATCGGCCCAATATATCAGTCGGCCTCTAAGCTGAACATGAAATTGGTTTGTTCATGATCAAAAAGGAGCAGGAGGAATCCTAAACTGATGTGATCCCACCCCTTTTCTAATCACCTGTTCAGTTACTCCATGTAGCTAACAGCAAAGTCATTTTTACAACACTGTGTCATTGGAATTTATGTTGACATTAATTTAGGAGTAAAACCAAAAATAAACAATAATAAAACATTACTATAATCACCTTATCTAATAATTTTTATACCTTATGTAAGTGTGGAGTGAACGTTTCAACTCTTCCCAATACTGTCCAAGACTAAAATTTTACATAATCTCACCTTTTTTACACCTTTTCTGCCATAATTCCTATTTTAACACGCCTAAGGAACAACTGTGGAGCCTCCAGGTTTCTGACGGACACCTCATAGTCCAGTAGCGGTCAGGAGTTCTCACCTCTGAAAGTTTAAGAAAGACTATGACCTCTGGGCTTATGTTTATGTTTATGTTTATTCATTTAGCAGACGCTTTTATCCAAAGAGACTTACAATTTACAGCCTATAGGGCATGTTGTGATCTGTGGGGGAAATCGGAGGAAACCCATGCATGCATGGGGAGAACACGCAACTCCACGCAGAAAGGCCGCAGCCGAGTTTCGAACCTGCAGCCCTCGTGCTGCGAGACAACAGTGCTAACCACTGCGCCACCATGCAGCCCATGCTTATGACACTGGAAACCCCCTCTGTGACTTTCGCTCAAGCTATGCAAATGTATAACAATTCTGTGTTCTTGCTGGCGATATATCACGGTATATTGTGGAGTTCCCCTCGATAATGATAAATGGACGATAACTACAAGTATGCGCCAAAAATAAGTTGTCCACTAGATGGGGCTGTCACGTGTATTATGTTGAGTCATGTCATGTGACTCCAAGCGTACAGCTTCTTAAAGGGACATGAATGTTGCTAACCCACTCACATCTTTCCATTTTTGTTTATCTAATTTATTGACATGGTAATATTGAAATCGATTTGAGTCATAAATGTTGATAACGATACATTTTTGATTTATTGCCCAGCCCTTAGCTAACCCACTTCTGGCTTCACTTCCTGTTTAATTGCTCCAAGCCAAGAACGCCTAATTCGTGCACAAAGAAGGGCACGTACAAAGGGAGAGGGACAGTTGGAGGGAAGTCTGATGGTTGGATGGATCTGGATCCATTCATTAAGAATGGGACCTTAACAGTGATTGGATGAGGTTTTTCCAGGACCGAACATTTCAGAGGGGATTTAAATGATTATTTTTTTATGACAGAACAATTTATTGATCACCATTGGTATGTGAAGAGCATTATAAGCAATATGCAATAAGCAAAGAATGCTCCAGAAAAACATCTCATACGCCACCTTTAAGTAATGATTAGGTGGTGGAATTTTTAAGCTGGATAAATAAGGTGGATCAATGTCTGGAGTTCAAAGTCCTGCTTCTTATGATGCTAGCTGAGACAGCTGTGTACCTGTTAGATTCTGAAGCTTTAGAGAAAATAGATGTTCATCTCATTTGGACATAAAATGTCCTAAAACTGGTGGTGATTTATTTAATGAGATTTATATAATAGTTTTCATGGGAGAATGATGGCCTTAAGGGAATTTTTATTTATAGATGGGAGTAGGACTCAATGGACCACTCTCAGAAGAAAGAGAAGATAAAAACTTGTAGAAACAGCTGGTGTTTCTCGGCTGTATGTTACTAACTTGGCTGACTTGTCTGAAAGCAAAATAAAAACAATGAGAAAAGCTTTTTGTCCTACTTAGTTCAGAATCTAACTCAAAACAAACGTCTTTGTGAAAGGTCAGCAGATTCTAGCTGGAACGTCTGAGCACGATTTGTTTCAGATTGATAAGATACACATTTCTTTTGCAGTTTTAACAAAAATGGCTGCAAAGAGAAAGCCAGAAGCTTGAGACGCTGCTGCTGCTGCTGCTGCTGCTGCTGCTGCTGCTGCTGCTTTGGGGACAAATTAAAAGTCTGCAAGATGTTGAGTGAAAAGCAAGAAGATTAGATTAGATTCAAATGTGCTGTCGTCACTCAGGTCTAATGGTGGCTTTTGGCAGAGCCGCCGTGCTCCAACTCGAGGGATCTAGCCTCACCCTGGAGAGGAGAGTGGCAGCTCTCCCATGTTGCAGAATTTGAAAGCAAACTCCTTCAAACGTGTTGCTGCTTTAGACTTGATGAACAAAATCCAGATGAGAACTCAGCCGCAATTTACTCAGCTTTCACATCAGTCTCCTCCTGAAATATATATCATCTGAATTATGTTTAGAAATAAAGGATTATTCTCCTGGATGCACTGTTTTGGTGTTTGTGGTTTCTATGGTGGCTCCAGCAGTTGCCCAATACCTCCAGAGTAGAACTCCTCCAGAATCCCCGTTTGAAATGATTAATTTGGCCATTATTCTTAATTTAATTCATTTTTACATTATGGCACCTATTTATCTCACTCTTAGCATGAAGCTTTAACTATCCGCCAATCAGCTCACACACAATGCTAATAATGTTTTTCATAAACACCATTTACAAATCTTTCAAACAAACACAGCTGCTTTCAGTTTCCTGTGTGTATTTCTGCGATCGCAGAGCAGAAGATGTTTCTGATTAGATCTGATTGGCTGTGCCTTTTATTAATTTAGCTGTTAATTTTTATCTGCTTTGATGATAAGAAAATCACCAAAATAAAATGAGACAATTATGTTTCGAGAGAAAACTTTACACTTTTGAATTTTTTGGCCCAAAAACAAGAATAAAATGCAGCAAATTGTTCAGATTTCCTTGGTCTTATATAAATCGGGAATGTAAACAACATTTGCTGTGCTTCTGGCTTTTGTCCTTTATTTGTTCTTGTACTTTACGACTACATTTAGTACTTTGTAAAATACCTTTCCTTTTAAGTCAGCCGTTATATAAACCTGGAATTAAAGGCCTGGTCCTGTAAAGGTTCAAATTCACTTCCTGGAAGGAATTTTTTGTAACTTAATTCTCTTATCTCTAAAACATCCTGAGGGTGTGTTTCTGTGTTTTTGTGGGCTTTTTTCATTCGCTAAGCACCATTCTTTTATTGTAACATAAGTATTCGTTTACATGGAGATGATAAACAGTTGACTCGCTCCCACTCTTTCGTGTTGTTTGAATGGCCTAAAAGATTGGTTGATATCAAGAGATCTACGTCATGCAACTTTCTACAATAACAGCCAAGAAGATCAGAAAACTTTGTGTTCATTAATAAAAATTAAAACCAAAGATACATTCAAATGTGCAATTCGTTTGAGAGTAGACTGCTGTAGCTTTTCTTAACAAATCAAATAAAAATAGATAAAATCAGCAAAAAAAAAAAACAATGCAAACAAGGTTTATTTTTGAGAGAACCCAACACTCTTTGGAGCTAAGTCAAACAGACGCCACTATAGAAACACAACGCCCGGCCAAAAATAAAGTTGCCACCAATAAAAGGTCACACATTCTAATATTTAAACTGCCTTTAGTTTTGGTTACGACATTGTTGGGGTGTTGTTTTGATGAGCTTCTGCATTGTCACCAGATTTTTTTGCCAGTGTGGCATTAAAGTTTCACTAAGATCTTGCATTGATGATGGTGGAGTCTGACCGGTGCACAAAGCCTTCTCCAGCACATCCCAAAGATTCTCAATGGGGTTAAGGTCTGGACCCTTTGGTGGGCAATCCACATGTGAAAATTATGTCTCATGCTCCCTGAACCACTTTCACTATTTGAGCCTGATGAATCCTGGTATTATCATCTTGGAATCTGCCCGTGCCGAAAGGGAAGATGGAATAACCTGGTGTTTCAGTATATTCAGGTAGTCAGCTGACCTCATTCTTGGAGCACATCCTGTTGCTGAACCAGGGTATCCGCGGGTCCTTAAAAAGTCTTAAAAAGTCTTAAATTTGCTTTTCCAAATTTAAGGCCTTAAAACTCCTTAAAATTACAAATAATCCTTAAATACAGTTTCCAAAGGTCTTAAATTACCAAAGACCCAATAAACAAGATTCTTTTATTTTTGTCATTTTCGTGAATTTCTATTTGGTGTTCAGCATTTTTTGTGTGTATGATGTTGGCGTAAGCGGAACCGTACACGTTCAGTTGGTTGTGAAAGGGGGCTATTTTTAGATGAACACATTAGCTGGTTAAGCTAGAGGGAGCTTGCACCATGGGGAAGTGCAAGTTTAATGGTAAATGGATGGCTAATCCCACGTTTGCGACGTGGTTAGCACCGGTTCCTGGCAATAGCTGGAAATTATAGCTTAAATTTAGTTTAAAAATAGCTTAAATTTGGTCAAAGTGGCCTTAAAATAGGTCTTAAAAAGTCTTAAATTTGGCTCCCTTAAACCTGCAGATACCCTGTGAACCTAGACCTGACCAACTGCAGCAACCCCAGATCATAGCACTGCCCCCACAGGCTTGTACAGTAGGCACTAGGCATGATGGGTGCTTCAATTCATCTGCCTCTCTTCATACCCTGATGCACCAGTTCTTAACCCAGTTTTAGTTGTTTCTACAATCTCCTTAGATGTTTTCTCTGCTTGATGCATGCCACTGATGTGACCCTTCTCACACAGACTAACATCTTTTCAACGACCATCAGATGTGTCTTTCCACAGTGTTGTTTTACTCATTAACTGCTATTAATGATAAAAGTCGTCATTTCAAATCCAACCACTCGCTGCCATCGACGACTAAAGTTGTCATTTGCATTTTTTTACTGAGCGGGCGTCGGAACGAGCCCCCGCAGTGTGAGAACAAACATCACAGCTCTAAAGCTGATCTTCATCCGCGTATGTCAAACGTCACATGATCAGGAAGCAAAAAAATCCATTTGTTAGGAGATCGTTTTGGGCCGCTGCTGTAAAAAAAGTGAGGCGCGAACCAGGAAAGCTTCTGCCGATCACAATTCGACAACGAATTATGAAAGAATGGATAACGCTCAACGCGTGGATCCTTCCTGATGTCAGAGGTGAGTCTACTTTCTGTCTTGGTAGTTTTGGTGAAGACGTCATCATAGAGCACAACGTTCTGTGACTCTTCAAAAACTGTATAAACACACAAACAACGTTGGTAGCGAGAGGCTTTTCTGATCAGGAAATGGCCGGCAGTTAATGAGTAAGAAATGAGAAGCTACTCATGGTACCAGTTGGGGTAAAAATAACTTGTCAGCTGAAAGATAATCGCCCACGCAGTAATTATCAAATAAGAGGCTCAAACCTATTTGGTTAGTTAAATCCAGATGGCAAATTTTTGGGAGCCAGGCAGTTTATCGTTCAGGGTTTAAATGAGTCACTCAAGGTCGGACATTACACGACTGAACTGATTTTTGGATATCTTTTATGGATTTAACATCATCACAGAATCACATCTAAGTTCACCTCTAAACTGCTGGTTTGTTTGATGTCATGTTTGTGGTTACCATGGTTACCCCAATAAGGCAGTAGCGCCAGCTTAAACATTGTGGTTGATCTTGGTTAATTTATTTTGCATCAATACTTTGTCTGGCCTTTTTGTGCATGAGTGCAGCACAGCGTGGAGGCTGTCAGCCTGTGGCACTGCAGAGGTGTGATGGAAGCCCAGGTTGTTTTTTTCCTCTTAACAATAAGTGTGTTTCCATTATCAAAACTTGTAGCAGATAATCCCATAAAGAACGGGATTTCCTCTCGTCATTGAATGCATTTTATGTCACACAGTTGCGCGCCCCGTTCCCTAATAGTCAAAAAAATCATACATAATTCCTAAAGGGGGGAAAACTTCGGATTGAGTTTTAAAGTTGTAGATTTTCATGCCCTAGGCTGCGTGAAACCTTCTAAGTGTCTGTCTTTCTGTCATCTATTAACCTCTCGGATCTTGTCTACGTTAGTGGGAACAAGTGGGTATATGTGCCAAGGGCTGATAATTTAGTGTTGTATCTGTAATTCTTTTCCACACAAAACACTCATCTCAGTCACACACAGCCTTCACTCCAAACTGCATGTGTGTGCGCGTGTGTGTCCTCTGCCCTGTGTAAGCTGTGGAAGATGCTGTTACAACAAACAGGGTGGCTTAGAGACAGGAAGGGAGCGTAAAAAGAAAGCAGAAGAAAAAAAGACACATAAGAAGAGTGATTTTTCTCCCTTTTATTCCCATGGGTGTTGCAGCAGGGCTTTTCACTTGAGTTGCCACAATTCATTTCCTGCTGCTCGTGTGTGTGTGTGTGTGTGTGTGTGTGTGTGTGTGTGTGTGTGTGTGTGTGCGTGTGTGCGTGTGTGTGTGTGTGTGTGAACTATGTAAAGGTCTTGCTCCACACTGGTGATTTATAGCGGCGGGCTCCGGCCCTATCTGTTTTCGATCAGTCTCATGCTTGGCTCTGGCTTCCCTCCAGCTCTCCCCTGGTCCACCGGACACCGAGTCTGGGTGGGACCTCTCAGCAACTGCCTGGAATCAGCACCACAAACACAGCGCTCTCTCTCTCTCCCTCCCTCCCCTTTTGTTCCCCTTCTTCTCAGCTTCCCACTGCATCTCAACCCCCCCCCCCCCCTTTTTTTTTGCTTCCATGTACACAATTTCACAACATCATAAAGAAACAAATTCCGTAACTTGCTTATTCACTCTCTTTGGCTCCCTTTCTCCATCTCACTCCTTTCTTCTCACGCTCACCATCCGACTCCAGCTTCTAGAACCCGGTCACATGCATGCTGCTGACTGAATCCCCCTCCGGTGTTCTTTTCTCACAATCACAACCCACAGGCCTGCGACTTCTCCTTGTGTAAACTGGAGTTATAGTTGTCATCATGATATGCTGTTGTGTCAGTGTTGGCGGTGAGCAGTTTCTTGCTGGACGAGTCTTACATTTCATTGCCGTTTCCTTCAACTCAGTTTTTTTTTCTCCTCCTGGAAAAATTACAAGCTTCTCTGTTTTTAAACACAAAGGGAAATGTCAGCGGCTTTCCAGAAACATTTGCGTTGGTTATAAGCGTGCAAATCTCCCTGACTCTGTGCGTGATGGTGGATGTTAACTGAAACAGGAAGTGGCCTGTCAGTCATGTGCTCGCTACACCACTTTCTCCCAGCTGCTAGTCCATATGCACACACTCACACTAACAAGCCCCGAGATGGATGCACAGACACGGACAGCTGGTCTTCCTGTCTCTGGTGACCTTGGCTGGGCTCCGAGGCTCCTCATGGGTTTGGTATCCACTCTTCCTCACATCCTCTTCTATCGTAACCGACTTGCAGCTCATCCTCGTCTTTAATGTGTTACCGCCCTTCCGATTTCTGCTTGTTCTCTCCCTTCTGGCTCTTCTTTGTGTCTTAAAACCAACTTTGTTTTACCTTCAGAACATTTTTCTTCAGTGACAGCGGCTGGTACAACCCCATCAGTGCTCCATCATCTTTAAACCGACGTTCTCTAAATGGACCAACCAATTTTCAGGTTCTTTTGGTTTTGTGCTTGCAAAGTGGTTCTAAGTGGAACAGGATGGCGGTTAGCTGGTGCTGCTGTTTCCCATCAAAGATGAAGTCATGGACACTGTTGATATTGGTGGATGCTCCATTTGTGTGTTTGTGTTAGAGAACGAGAACGAAGGAGGTGCACGGATTCCCTGCAGACACTAACACTTGTCCTTAAAGAGCAAGTCACCCCCAAATAAACCTTTTTTGCTGATAAACTAAATAAACGAGTGTCTAATCGTGCTGCAGACACGCATCGTAAATAATTTGGCGCTTCAGTGCATCTTATTTAAAATTTAAATATTCTGCCTAAAATTGGCAGTGTTGTGCCGTTGTCAGGTAAAAACTCTGCACTGTATTTTAATTTAAATCTGCCACCGCTATTGGCTAAGAAGTATGCTATGATGTAAACTGGTACATTATGATGTCACAATGCTGTTGTGAGCCTGAGTGTGTGTGTGTTTGTTAGCGGCTCCGCCCTCTCGGTCTGCCAGGCAACAGCATTTGTTGCATTTTTCAAACATGAAGTGGGAGTGGAGTTAGACTCTGGTAGGGGTTGACTTGCTCTTTAAACATGGCCGGGTATTTTCAGCCTGGGGAAACTTATTGAGGAGCACAAATGTACCTGTAGTATCACCTTAGATGACCAAAATACACGATTTCAACACAAAATAATGTCTTTGCTCACTCCCGAGTGTCATCAAAAAACATCTAAACATGTTGGTTAAAAACATTTTTTTACATTGCAATCAAGACTTAATTATTTCACAATCTGCTGAGTTAGTTCAAGTAAGCACATTAAAAAGAAGTTTAGACTGTTATTTTTCACCCAACATTTTAGATAATAGGATCCAGATAAGTTATCGTTTGTTTTATCAACCTCTACATTATTTTTCTCTACATCAGGACTGCAGGTGGGACAGTCCATTCACATGTGCAGAATATAGTTTTAGGGTCCCTATAAAAAGAAGCCAATGCTTTCCTTTATTTTGCATTTTAACTTAATTCCAGCTTAAGAGATGCTAAATAAAAACTATAATGCTTACTTTCCTTTTAGAATTGTTAATGCCTTGTCACTCAGCCCTGTTTTCTATTGTTCTATTATTTCAACCTTTAATTACAATCTCCTTCGTCCAATGCTCTTTCACTTGTTCCTCTCACCCCTCCAGCTCAGAAGGGGCTCCTCCACCTCAGCCCGGACGTGTATCAGGAGATGGAAGCCAGTAGAAAGCAGAACAGCAGTGCACCGAGCTCTTGTGGCAGCGGTGGAGGGTCCATCAACTACATACCATCTAAAGACATGGGGTCCTGCTCTGCCCCAGTACCCCCAGGAAATGCCCCGTATTACAGCGGCTCACCCTCATCAACCAGCCCGACCGCTACTATGGCCCGGGAGCTGCTGCTGAACGGTCAGGCACCTCAGTCCCCCACGGCTGATGGCTCTGTGCCCATGAAGGGGAAGAACATGGCCTGTGGCGTCTCCGTGCAGCCAGCGCAGCAGCTGGACTACCTGGCTCACATCCAGGGCTTCCAGGTAAGATGTGCTGCGTTGTTTCCACACCACTGTTGTTTGTACCAGTCTGGTCCCACACGTGCACACAGCTCCCTATGCGTGTCTATGACAGAGGCTACCACGTGTCCATCCTAATCTGCGCCGTCCGATCAGCTGCACATACCGCTGTGCGGATCCCAGCACCGGCTCATTTAGGCTTCAGATGCTTTTATCAGTCTGAGTGAAAACATTTTATCTTAACCTGCTGAGGGTTTCTTTGAAAGGCCTTTGTTATTTCTCTGAGTCTTCCTGTGTGTGTGTAACCTGAGAGAGCTTTGCTGCCACACACACACACACACACACACACACACACACACGTACAGACATCATTGGGCAGAGCTAGTAACATTCTGTATTTATTAACTATAGTACCATATTTTACTCTGATTGCTTATAGATTTTTCTGAGGGTAAATACACAGACAAGCACCACACACACACACACACACACACACACACTGGTGTGAGTATTTCTAAGGTAAACAATTCAGACTGCTACTGAGACTTTGCAGGGCTCCACTAAGGAGACGCTTCATATCCTGTGAGTGGGTAATGAGAATGAGGGTGTTTGATTATCATTCAGCTTTCTTAGGTATATCTGCAGAACAAACATTTGCAGATGAATGTTGAACATTTTTCCATTTGCTGCTCCTTCTCCCACTTATATCCTGGTATGATTAGGGTTAGGGTTTGCCCTTTGTGTGTTCTTAGAGAGGACAGCTGTGGGTTTACCTGCTAAGCCTCTCATTAGGTTTTATCTGAAATCAGTTCCCTGCGGAAGCTTCAACTGGGTAAGCAAGGATGCTGGCACTTTTTCCTGTGTGTGTGTGTGTGTGTGTGTGAGCGCGCGCACACGCGCTATTAATTATGCCGGCAGAGCTGTTGGCACAGATGGAACTAGGGCAACTACAAGAAGGCTGAAAGTAAAAGACAGCACACTAAACCAGGATGGACTGGTGTTCCTGTGCCTCTTTACTCCTAAATTACTCATACCTCTGTCTTATTTCTTTTTCTCTTATCTTCAAGTTTAGCACCTTTCAGCATATTTGTCCTTTAAAAAGAAAAACACATTTTAATTGCTGCTTTGTTATAGAAGTGTGTTAGAAGTGTGATTATTTTTTTACTCTAAAGATGAAAACACAAATGATCCATGGACTGATGTAAATTTTTTTTTTTTTTTTACTTTCAAAGTCAGCCTCTCAACACGTCTACAGCCATGGCCAAAAGCTTTCAGAATGCCCCAAATATTAAATGTCTCAAAAACACTGAGGCAACAAACCTTGTGACAACCAATATTTGGGTCATTCTCACAACTTTCGTGCAGGATTAAAACTCCTCCAAGTATATATATATATATATATATATATATATATATATATATATATATATATATATATATATATATATATATATATATATAAGCACCCAAATACATACAATAATTACTACGTTACATAAGATCTTCTAACGCTAAGAGATACAGAGTAAACCGCACCATCACTGTTCTTGTTTGCAAACACGTTTGGTCATATTGCAAATGTGCAATGTTGCTAAAGCGCAAGTTGTAAGAATCTGACAGAATGGTGCGAATGTCAACTTTTCAATTTAAATTTGGGTTTTAAATATTTTGTTTAATTATAACAGAAAACTATTTTTATTCTGCCTCATACAGTTATTGCTCATTATTTAAATGCCCTTTCTAAGCTATATCCATGCATATGCATGATTTCTGTTTTGTAAAACTCCTATTTTAATGGGCATCTTATCAGTCTTTATTTATTAAACCTTGTGACAACCAATATTTGGATCATTCTCATTAAGCTCATTAAACAGCTTTCATCATCACAACATGACAACAGAAGGAGAGATGGCAGATAATAGAGGAAAATAGAAGGTTTGAAATATTTCAAGCAGTAGACGGAGGGATCCAAGCTGTTTTATCTCTGGTGATGCATTTAGGAAGAAGTGGATTCTAATTTCAGAAGTGTTTCCTTACTATTAACTGCCAAGCCACAGCCGCTCTGAGACATCCAGCTTCACGTCGGTTCGCTCCATTAGTGATAAATCACTTGCACTTTTTCGCGAGGTGTAACAGCTTGACGCATTCTGCCTGCACCGTGGATTGATTTATTGAGATATTGGACCGGACCGGAGCAGACTGGTGCTTCACCGTAACGTTCTGATCCTAAACTAAGCCATCTCCGACCGCTGAAGCAGCCTCTGGGCCCATCCGGGCCCAGCAGCCGGGCTCCGCCATCAGCCTCCTGGACCAGCGGCCGTGCTCCACCGGTGGCCTCCGGGACCAGCGGCCGTGCTCCACCGGTGGCCTCCGGGCCCAGTGCCCGGGCTCCACCGGCAGCCTCCTGGACCAGCAGCCGGGCTCCACCAGCAGCCGGTCTCCGCCAACAGCGTCCGGGACAAGCAGCGAGCTTAGCCATACCAACCTTCAGGCCGGGTTCAGGCTTCACCATCAGCCTCCTAGCCCAGCAGCAGGTACTGCCACCGTCCTCCGGGCCCAGCATCCCGACTCCACCGCCGGCCTCCGGGCCTAGCAGCCAGGTACTGTCACCGACCTTCGAGTCTGGCAGCCTGGATCCACCATCAGCTACCAGGACCTGTTTCTTGGCTCATCTACGCTAAGCCTGGCTACACAGAAAATCTCAACAAAAGCTAAGTGAACTGTTTTTATATCTGGCCACGAAAATGGCAATGAAAGTACTACAGAAAGATATGGAGGAGTTAAAGGATTCTGTGAGCATGATGACAGCTGAGTTGTCAACTTTGACAAAACAGCAAGCCTGCATTAAGGACTTACTTACTGAGATTAAAGATCTTAAAATGAGAAATATGGAACAAGAAAGGAAAATTGACTTGCTCGAAAATCGAGTGGCAGAGCTGGAACAGCATTCAAGAATGAATGATATAATTATTACAGGTCTTAAAATTAGGCCTAAAAGCTACCTCCAAGCGGTAAAGGGAATAGATAATGACAATGGGGCTGACCAAGATGATACAGCTGAAGAGCAGGTTGTGTCATTTCTGAAAAGTAAAGACATTTCAATTGATAAAATAAACATTGAGGCATGCCATTCATTACCTTTCAAGAAAAATCAGGATAAATCTGTGATACCAGCTATTATGATACGCTTTAATAGTAGGAAGCACAAAGTGGATCTGCTCAAACAGGGGAGGAAATTAAAGGGAACAAATGTGTACTTGAATGAAAATCTGACGAAGAAAAATGCAGACATTGCTCGTAGAGCGAGACAAATGAAAAAGCAGGGATACGTAGAGTCTACCTGGACTATGAATTGTAAGGTGTTCATCAAACAGAAAGGTGCTCCAGAAAATAGTCGTGGGTTCTGGATCAGAGATATCAAGCAACTGGAAAATATTAAGTGATATGGTTACAGTTATGTTGGTCATTCTTTAATTTAGTTTTTTACTTAGTTTGTGGGTGTTGTTGTTTTATTTACTTAAATTTTTTTTCTATATGTAAATTATTTTTTCTTCATGGGTGATTTTGAACAGGACATTGATCCAGAACAAAATTTCCATAGTAGCACACATTCATTAAGTGGTTATTTTACTGACCAACAGTTTAATGCAACTATTAAATATGAGCAAGGCTTATCTATCATTCATTTTAATAGCAGAAGTCTTTATGCTCATTTTCAGAATATTAAAGATTATATTGATAATTTTGTGAGGCCGTTTAACATCATTGCAATATCAGAAACATGGATAGATTCAGAGCACGGTGAGGATTTTTTCTTGCAAGGTTACAATTTCCATTGTATCAATAGGAATGGAAAGGGTGGAGGGGTGGCGTTTTTCATTGATCAATCCCTTTCATATAAATTTACTGAAAACTTGTCTATGGTTATTGATGAAGTTATGGAATGTATATCCATTGAAGTGAGTATTAAGCAAACAAAAAACATAGTGATTCATTGTGTATACAGGAAACCAGGAAGTGACATTGACACATTTATTGTTACAATGGAAAGTATTTTAATGTTAAACAAAAGTAAGATAACATATGTGTGTGGAGACTTTAATATAGATCTACTGAAAGCTACAGCACATAAGAAAACTGATGAATTTCTTGAGTTAATGTACAGTATGAGCATGGTTCCCCTCATTGCGATACCAAGTAGAAAAACTGCTGATAGTGCCACTCTTATTGATAATATATTCACTAATAATGTAGAAAGTATTATACATAGTGGACTATTGATAACAGACCTAACAGATCATCTCCCTGTATTTGCTATCCACGACTGCCATCCAAAGAAAGTAAAACCAGCTAAAACTTTAATGTATAAAAGGAGAAGAAAGGAAGAAGATTTACAAAATTTAAAAATGGAACTACGTAGTGTTAACTGGAGTAATATATATAGTGAACATGATGTGAATATTGCGTATAACTTATTTCTGGATATTTACAAAAGTATACATGATAAGAATTGTCCGATGATAAGACATACTTGTAGAAATCGATATTCAGAGAAGCCGTGGATGACAAAGGGGATCCAAAATGCTTGTAAAAAAAAGAACACATTATATAAGCTATTTATATCACACAGAACTAAAGAAGCGGAGCAAAAATATAAAACATATAAAAATAAATTAATTAATATAATGAGGATGTGTAAAAGGAATTATTATAGTAATTTGATTGAAAGGAATAAAAGTAACATCAAAGGAATATGGAACGTGTTAAATACAATAATCAAGAAGCGTTGTGACGGTCTAAACCATCCAGATTATTTTGTCAGTAATAACAGAGATATTTATGATAGACAGTTGACAGTAGAACACTTCAATGAATTTTTTGTTGGGGTTGGTCCAAAGTTGGCTGACAAAATAAATAGTGATGTGGACTCTGAATCCAATGGTTATGGTGACGGAGACGGTGTGGTGGATTCATTATTACTTGAAGAAGTGACTCAAAAGGATATTCTTAAAATTGTCAGAGCA